CAATTTAAAAATAAAATAATTTTATTTAATTTTTATTTTTGTTTTATTTATTTAATTTTTTAAAATATTTTTTTATAGATATTTTATTAATGTTTTATTTTATTTCATTATTATTATTATTATTATTATTATTATTATTTAAAATAAATTTATTTAAAATTTTAATTAAAAAATAACATATATTTTTATTTTTATTTAATTTTTTAAAAATAAATTTATTTAATTGTGCACAAAATAAAATAAAATATTAAAGCTATGTTTAATATTACTATTACTTAGTAAATAATTGAAAAGGATAAAATAGTCATTTGATTCACTAAAAATAGTTTAATCCAGACATCTAATCCCATAACTAAATAAACATATGATACAAATCCAGTCTAACCTAATAGTTCAGGGACAATATATCTTAGGACTAATAGTCCGATAGATTACAATATCTCCTTATCCAGTCTGTCCAAACAAACATACCCTTAATGTTCTAAAAGTTGGGCTGGAGCTGACAGAAGTTTTCAAATAAATTTCGATCCATTCCAATGCAACCCACATGCTATACTTGTGCCCTTTACAATAAAACAAAATAGAAGATAAGCCCACATCCAGTTAATCAAGGAAGTTGAGTTATACCTTGCATTGTTAGGGAGCTAAGCCCACATCCAGCTAATTCCGGCATCTCCAAGTTTTCGAGCACTGTTAATTCTGCAATAAAACAAAATAGAAGATACTAGTAAGATAAGGATGGATAACATATATTATCTTTGGGAGTAACATTAAAGATAGACATGCCTCGGGCAGGAAAGGAATCTCCCAAGTTAGCGTAACTAAGAAAAAGATTCTTCAGAGATATCAATGAACTTAAACATAGAATGATGCTCTTGTTGAAGTGGTTGTCACTAAGAGATAAAGTCTCCAGCTTTTTCAATCTTGACAAGGTCTCACAACCTGCAGTTATTGTAAACTTATGGTCATATTTAGTTAATGCAAATTTAACTTGATCTATCTTTCAATAAAGTTGTAAGGTTAAAAGAACGACATTAAACAAAACATATGATAATCCATCATGTTCATAGTTACCACTTTTGGTTCAGTTTTTTTATTTTTAAAGATCATTGTCATTTTTTTGTTTATCCTAGAAAATCAAGTTGATTGAAGAAAGTGAGTTGTCCTCCAAATAATATATTCTAGAGAATACCAAAAGTTGAGGTAAACAATGGTTGAAGGAGAAATTAAGTTACATGGACTCCTTAAAATAAAAAATACCAATGTCAGACACCTAATACTTGAACAAGGGTGTGAGATATATGTTTAACACTTTTCATAGGATACTTCTTATATATTCATATTTAAAACTATCACTATATGCATATATTGTTGTATATTGCTATCAAATGAGTAAAATAGCTTTTTGACACTAAGGTGGTGTTTGATAATCTAATTCAACACTTAAAACTGAATGTATTAAGTAAAAATCAATTAAGCTTGTCTGATAACTACAAATGGTATCACTTAAAAATTTAAGTAGCTCTTAAAATGTAAACTAAAAATTAAGAAAATTTTAAGTGACAGAAAACTTACTTAATTCTGATTGAATTTATACATAAGTATCAAGATACACCGTTATAACTTCACAACCTCTATCATCATCACCGCCATAGCTACGATCACCACCTTTACTGTTGTCCCTGCCGCCACCGCCACCGCCACCGCCACCCTTCCACGACCACCATCATTTCACTACTACCACAGTCGCCACTGCCACTAACATCAACACTAAAAAACTACCACAATCCTTCACCTTTACAACCATTGTCACCGTTGCCATAACACCACCACAATAAATACCACCATTACACCGCCGCCGTCACCCCTTTTTTTATCACTACTTCATCGACCCTCCACCATCACCACAACCACTATCTCTCTATCTATGCCACCAT